TATCACTGTCTTTGACAACAAAGGCTCTATTTAGCGAAAATATCATCACTTGTAACAAATGGTATCTTAAGATCGTAACGGTGTCACAAAAGAATTCTTTTCTCACTGAAGGACACAAAAAGGCGATCGAGTTGGCTTATTTTTTTCCGCCACTTCGATGACTCGTCTAGTTCGATTCCCCAAATGGGTCAGTGTTTGAATGACTGGGACGGTGGGGGTGGGTTGGCTACGGTGGACCTGTGTGTGAAAACCAATCTTGTTTTGCAGTGCAGTTAGCCGTATTACAGCTTTATGATGACGGCTTGTGGATAATCGAGTCTAAACATGGCAATATGCTGATAACATGAGCACGTTCTGCATCTAAATATATATAATTCTGCGTTCGGTTGTCGTTCACCTACACCTCCAAACTGCACAGTGTGCAATTTTTATTCACACCTATCGGGAGCAAGGGTGCCCCATTCATCTAATTATATATTGCAGATATGTTCCTTTAGCGCTGGCAGGATACTCCACGATTATGATCCGTAAGTCAGTCAACATCACACTCGATCCTATGGGTTTTCCAAACTTGTAGCATTCCTGTCGCTTTATGTTGACACGCCCTGATGGCGCAAATCTCGTCAAAATCAGATCTGTCACTCCGCATGAAGATTTGAGGACACCTCCACATGACACGACTACTCGCATAGATTTCAAGACGCATTTAAGCAAGGGGTCTATACTCATTAATTTGGTGAGGCATTAGTTAATTCTATTTCACTATGCTTTTGTCTCTTTTGTCCTCAGTGGGCCGAAAGCAAGGCAACCTCAATGTCGGCATGGTTTTGGCAACGAAAGATGAATCATCTGTATAAATCCGGACACTCGTAAAAGTTATGTCAAAACCGGATATTTTTGTCTTGACAAAATGATTGATCACTCAAAAAACAAAAAACAATCTCTCAAACGCCATGGTTCAACAAATTAAAAGACTGATTCAGAGACATATATGTTCCATAACCTTAGTGTCACAACTGTGGATCTACTAGACAGTAATCATAGATCGACTGACCGTAGAGACATCTCTGACAGAAAGTATTATACCAGAGGGTAGTGCAGGTACAGCTTCACCCATCAGGATTCAGAGTGCCATAATTTTCACACGGGTTCCCCTCTTTGAAAATGTCAAATGTAAACTTCCTCAAGTACAATATCCGCAAAATGATATAAACATTGCTTAAATGTCGCAGATGATATGGTGCTCCATCTACTGGCATCACAGGACCAATGACAGTATTGTTCATTTTTTAAAACAACCAAGCAGTCTGTGTTGATGCAGTGGACGGATTTGCGCAACAAAACAGATATGAACCAACTTTCTGCTGTTATTTCTAATGTTGTTGATACCATGACTCTCTTTTTTGTTACTGCCATTACAGAACCAAAAGTCGGATTGTACACCTTTGAAACAAACACAAATAGAATTAGAGATACATTCAATGACCAGATTCGGGCATACAAACAGATATATAAGGAAAATTCGGCGATTATTTCAAATGCCACTGGTGGTATGATTCTCCATTTTACTGGAAAGTTATGATCAGTTGTTGAAAAGATTACTGACGCAGTTGTGATCATTCTTGATAAGGCACCTTGACTCAACTTTCAATCATCCCCCATATGTACATGTTTACATGATTAAATATCGCAAAATTGAGTAATACAAACAATCACCTTTATATGGTGGGACTATTGTAAAGTATGATTATAATTATAATACTCATGATTTTAAAAGACGAAACCTCTCGTATGAAGTGATTTTGTCTGATAAATCATTCATAAAATATATACTACTATATATACTAATTTTCTCAAGAATGGTTATCCAGGAATTGGGAACCGAGAGATCAAATTCACAACAATCTTCTGTAGTTGCAGGGTTCAATACGTTTTTAGGATGCCCAAACGTCAGGTGATGTTGTATAACGAGAGTTCTTGTTTTGTAGGGCACGTTTAAGTGTATCCCAGAATCTCTAACAGTCATTGTCCTTTGCTGCTGCATTTATCTCATCACTCATTTTCATATTATATATATGTTCTTCTTTCTTTCACAGCACATTTTAAAATCTGCCTTTGCCACAATATCTTTTTTTAAAATTTAGCGCACAGTTATATTTTCTGAACTTGTTCAGTAGTCTATATTTCTCTGATTCGAATTGAACACAGTCATCATCAAACCAAGGAGGTTGTGATCTTCTAGTTTGCTTAGATGCTGTATCATAAGCTCCTCCATTTAGTGCACTATGAGTCATAATTTCGGATAATTTTGTAACGGCTTGTTTATGTAATCATCTAATATCACTGAGAATGTTTTCATACATAATCTGACTTGTAGTTTTCCGAATTCATTGTATGAAAATTGTGGAATAAATCTGGGAACAGTCTCCACTATACCATCTGTGATGATTCCATTACTTGATTGTATATTACATTTTTTTATTGTACACTTGACGGGATATGATCTGAATCTGTAGCTGGATAACTGACATATCAATGACGTTTGGGAAAAGATCACTGGAAGCTATGAAATAGTCTACAGTACTGCATCCTGTATGTGACACAAAATTGAAGTTACCCGGGATATCCAAAGGGGCTCTGCCATTTACAATATGTACACGGAGTAATTTACACAAATCTCAGTAAAGCTCTACAGTAGTTATTTGTTTTTAGTCCCGAACACTTCTTGTAACTGAGACATTATCTCTAACATAATGTGGATCAACTGGTGAATACTTCACATCAGCATCAAGGATAAAATCCAGGTCACACCCAGTTCTTGCGTTAAAATCACCACATAAGATGAATTTACAGGACTCATCATAATCGTGTTAGATATGTACTAACCGATTCTCCAATCTATCTAGGACAGTCGGGTAGCCTAGTGGTTAAAGCGTTCGCTCGTCACGCCGAAGACCCGGGTTCGATTCTCGACATGGGTACAATATGTGAAGACCATTTCCTGTGTCCCCCGCCGCTATATTGCTGGAATATTGCTAAAAGCGGCGTAAAACCATACTCACTCACTCCAATCTATCTATAGCGTTTTCCTCACAATTATTGTAGAACAGAGATGATTCGGGGTGAATATATACAAAAGCAATAAAAGTGTGTATTCGGCTTTCAGCATTCACAATCCTGAAAAAGATAACATTATCCCAATGTGAATAAACTCTCTCAGAGGTTGTGCCAAACAGTGTTTTATGCAAACTGCAATTCCACTAGATAACCTTCCACGGTCAGACAAACATAATTATCATAGTTACTGAATACTTGCGTTAATACATTACTAAAATCTGTACACATTGTTTCAATAAAACAGAAAACATCTTGGTAGAATGAAATAAAGTCACCAAATTCAATTTTGGATTTTAGTCCTTGGATGTTCAAGTCACATATATTCAATATGTTTAGTGTAGATTCAGTGTTATTTTCATAAGCGTCATCGAGGCCACGACCACCATCCTATTTGCTTTAACACCAGCTGATGTAGACGTTGTTGATGATCACATTGCAGCAGGTGCAGACGTCGTTGATGTCTCTGTAGGATTGGGTGATGATCGTGTCTGCGATTTCGTGACTAATGCCCAGTTCCTACGCTGTCCCACTTGTCTGATTTGTGTGTCGTCGTCTTCCAGAACAAAAACAGAACCATCAACTACCAGTTTATCATAAACTCAAATAGTCAACTTTGTTCTCTTGTCTGGCTCTCATCATAAAGGGTAACAACTTTGACCGAATTCCCCTCACTCTCTGATGTTTATAATACATAACAAGGCAATGAAAACTCTTTTTCATTAGAAACTTATTTTTCCCTTTCCCGAAATTGTGTTTTCATTGTCTACCACAACAGATTATCGATTTGATATCATGTCTTCATTTACTTTTCAAGACCAAGAAAACATTATTTGTTTCTTCTTTATCGATTTAATCACATCGTTTTAGATGAATACGTACAACCACTTGCTTTCACACTTGCTATTATAACTAGCAATTGATAAACACTACTTTAAAGCTTCAATTATATTGTGGTTCCGTTGTTTTACAACCCTCGACAATCGTTACCAGTCAACACAGTTCCGCCCACTGTGATCAATGAAGAAGCTCAAACACGACCGATTCGATTTTTATGAGCGTGTCGGGAGTATTGCGTCTTCTGTCCATTCATGTGGGAATCCGGGTTAGTGGCGGCTATTGTATTCCGGGATAGACTGTTGTTATTATTGACTTGCAATCTAATCCAGCTCCTATCTCAACGGAAGATCTGAATGCTGTTAAATCGGCGATCTTGGATGAGCTAAAATACTTTAGAACTTCAATGCAGACAGACATAAACTCAATAAAAGCCCAGTTGACGGAGGTGATAAACAAATGTGATCAGTTGGAAACAGTAGTTAAAAAGGTGCAGAGTGACGTGGAAAATGTACAGCACCAGCACGATATTATTTATTCTGATATGGATGCTTTGAACACTAAATCTGAACTCCTTGAAGGCAAAGTAGAAAAACAGGCTGAAAACATTGACAGACTAGAGTTGTATAGTCGCAGAGATAATGTTGTATTTTACGGCATCTAGGAGAGTAATCAGGAAAATTTTGATTCATGCAAAGATACTGTTGTAAATATCCTCAACAAACACGGTGAAGATAGAGATTGTACTCGCACAGATATTGTACGAGCGCATCGTGTAGGTACGACGCGAGACACTGACACTGCAAACACGAAAACGTCGTTTTTTCCCGTATATGGTCATTGGACGGAAAAACGACGTTATTTGGACGTTTTCAAACCATCGTTTTTCCGTCCAAATAACGTCGTTATTTGACATCGGATTTTACTGGGAGAGAACGATAGCGTTAAGCTCCTCCCTTTCTTGATTGACATTGTCAATCAAGCAACAGCATCTACCGGTATTTCTACTTCTCGGTTTTCATTGGTCAGTCCCCGCGTGTTAGATGGCCTCAGACCACAGTTATCCCCCCTAAGTTTTACCATGAACCGGAAGGAAAATAGGAGAATATAGTACCCAGTTGAAATGGGCTGTTCAGCCTGTGGCAATTTTTTTGGAGTGACTTGTGATAGCTTAAATGAAAGATAAGACATTGTAGTTTGCTGTCAATTTTTTGTAAGCCCCAATCTGTGAAGGTATTGATTCCAGCTTCCCATGATTTGACCCCAAGTTGAAGGCCGCTGTGTGTGTTTCGGCTCGAAACTTCCGGTGAGCATTGTTGACAGTGGTTACTGCGAAAGCAAGGTGGTGGATCCTGGACGTAAGTTTGCGTTTTAAGTGACAAGTGGCAGGTTGGTCAGCATGCAACAGGAGAACAGCCTACGACTGATAATAATTATGGTGGGCTGTCATGTCACTGTAGATAGCAAAGAAGGAAATTAATTGTGGTCTGAGGCCTGATATGGTGAGGCTAGTGCATATGTTTGATTGACTATATCTCTATTATTATGCAAGATTTTGACTTGAAACTTGGCACATATATTCACAGTAAGTGTTGAAATCTGTGTACATGTGTATTCAGGTTGAAATATTTTTTAATTTTTTTTAATGATTTTGTGTACTTTTTCGAACGTGCGATTTTATGCATGTTGTTGAAATGAGTGAATGCCAGCATCATAATAAGTCATATGAGTTCCAATATGGTAGAATCATGTATCACTACACCTGTCGTGCCTCGTTTGCACTTGGACACTTTTAATATGGCCAACATCAATGCCTTTTTTAAGAAATACAGAGAGTTATTTGCTCGGCATTCAGCCAAAACTGACCAACACGGCACCTGTCAAAACGGCCAATGTCAGCTGTGGTCTAGGGCATGTAAGCCCAGTGGATATGGGGTTTTGAGATACTATTGCCCCATATCCAACAAGTGGCGCACCATAAATGCCCATAGACTCAGCTACATTGTGCATAGGGAAGATTTCGACATAGGTGATTTGGACATCAGCCATTTGTGCCATAATTCCAAATGCACCTATGTCGAACATCTTTCTGCTGAGCCTCATAGCATTAATGCAGAAAGAGTAGCCTGTGTGAACAGGGGTGCATGCAAAGGCCATGCGCCATATGCAGATTGCCTTTTGGCTTTGAAGCTATGAAAAGAGACAACAACAAGCAAAGTAAATGATTAAGATTTTATTCATTAACTGATGTTCAGCACAGTGACAGCTGATTGTTAGCATTGCATATACAAAAAGCATAGCTGTACAGCAACTGTTACCTATTTCAACTCAATTGTTTACACAAAGTCAGTCATAAGCTAGTCATTACCTACAGTATTACTGCACATGTTCATTTCTTTGAATATGAATGGTCAGCTTGTTTGCTAAAACATGGCACAGGGTCAAGTTGACCCTTTTTGTAGTCCCCCCTCTGTTTGTCACTCAGTTTTGACTTTAAATGTTCACTAATTTTGCTCCCATGCTGTACGAGCTTTCTTTTCACAACACTGGGACTTTTCTGGTATTCCTTGTGATAGGCAGCTTCCTTGTCCATTTGTTCAAGTGACCGTACTGCTCGACTTGATAGTTCAACACCAGAGTTTTGGCACTTGTCGATTGCTGATGTCCCGGGGCCATTGTTGAGCCTATGAATAGTCGATGAAGCCCTCCCAATCATATTTCTTGAAAAGTTCACGTTCTTTGGCAAAGAAATACTCATTGATCGGTTCACGGCTTCACATTTCTGTGTGTCTGTGTACAGTTTCATTTGTTCGACAACTTCGACACTCAGCTTCATCTTGAGAATTTCATTCATCAAGTGTTTATCATTGTCATCCATATTGAAATGAGTGATTTTGTTGCAGCCGAGGAACATGGACCGCTGCCACCAGCTGTTTGTTACACCGCCTCGACACACAACAGAGTACCGGGCACACCTGGAGCAGTCGCCGCTGTAGCACTTGAGGGTTGCTTCGAGCACTCTAGGTAAGATACTACGAAGTGTTTTCATGTCGCCTGCATGATCCTTCATGAGTTCTTTCAGTATCAGGCTGCACCGTGCCTTTACATCCTGCCTTAGCACCTTCTTAGCCTCCAATTTCTGTGTACGAGTAGTGCCGGGGAACATATCTGGGTTGAAATCAGCTCTGTAGCATTGCCGAAACTGTCCTTGAGCCAAGTGGGTGGGATCAGCTAGCCTCTGCACCTTCCACATAGGGTCTAACACTTTCAGAGCCTTGTCTATACCATCTGCAGACTTAGAATCCCCATCGGTAGTAGCATACTTAATTAGCACACCCTGTAGCGCAAGCTGATTTCCAATGTCCTCTCCCATATTGAACTCGGAGAACGGAGCGAAGGCCGACATGTTTGCAGTACAGTCTGGGTGCCCCCCTGGACACTTCACATCCATTCCTTTTCCTTTCAGCCAAGCACCAGTCCAGCACAGCTTATTCTGGAATGACGCGCCGATGATGAACTTCTAATCGGTAATAGTTTCGCAGGCTATGCCGATTGCTTGTGATGCATTCTGCCCTGGCTTCTTCCTGCTTGCTATTGTCGTTGAGTTGTATCGGCCATCCATGGCAATATTCATCTCGCATGGCTCAGTACCCCTCTTCCGATTAACTTCCTTTACCAATTCAACTTTTTCAGCCATATCCTGTGTATTCAGTTCAGTAACAGCAATAGCCACCTTGTTGGAGGTCCTCTGCATACTGCTCCTGCATGGGGGCGGAATGTCCATGTTCGCCATCAGTAACCTGGCTCTTGTGTTCCCAATAGGGGTGTCTTGAAGACCCAAGGCAAGTCCTACGTTAGGGGCTGCTGGGTTTGGTCCAGGTTTGCCTGTCTTGATTTCTTTATACAACTTCATTTCAGGTGCTGTGAAGTCACATACAACACATTTCAGTGTCACTTTCCAGCATGCTCCCCATTTTCTCTCCTTGGCTATCTGCAGCTGAGGGTCGTCGCAGTCAGTGGATGTCGAACGATGCAGTCGCAGAGCTGTGTTCCATGCTTCGGCCACCTTTTCATTGTCGACTAGTCGCATACCCTCCAAGTCATCTTTGCTTGACTCTTGTTTCAGGTTTTGCTTGCTGGCCGGAGTAGGCCGCAACAGCCTCACAGAGGTAGAGATGCCCTCACAGTCAGGTGTCGACAGCCCAGTGCCATCCAGCCTAGACTTGGTAACCAGTGAGAAGTCTTCAGCACTCATCCTAGTGACAGTCCTGGGTATCTGGGGTGGAGAGTCACTTTCTGTCTCTTCAGACTCAAGGGTGAGACCTTTGTTCCAGGGAGTGTGGCCCTTGCTGAACTGTGACTTGATTCTCTTGCGATCGCCTTTCATTGTGATTGTCTCGGACAGAACTAATGAGCTCTGAGCACAAGATGTACCTATATACCCCATGACTGTGTAATGTCAATGGCAATGACAAGCGTGTAAATGTATTAGAAACTCTCAAGACATACATATGTCTTGTGCCAGCAGTCCAAATTGCAGTTGAGCTGTACACGCAGTTTGACACCTTGGCGTGTATTGGCCGAGTGTCAGCTGAGAGTGGTCACACCTGGTGACTCGCTGCACTTGATTGGCTGTACACAGCTACCTGTCCCACCAATCATTTTAATGAGTAAAGACAGGGCTTTCATGTGAATAAAAATTTAACAGTTTCAATTTTCATTTTTGTTGAAAAATATGAACTTTAATTCAATTGTTTTGTTAAAAAATGTATGCATGTACCTAAAAATAGGCCAAAAAAAAAAGAATTGATATACCGGACTGAAATTGATGTCTGTTGATAGTATATGTCATGACGAGACAGGAACACTTGCTTGTTTTGTCAATTTCCTTTTGGTTATGGAGTTATGGACAAATTAGAATTGCATTTGAAATGAATTCATGCCAAAAATGTACTCTCAAGTGCTATGGATGCAGCATGATTTCAAATGACTATAAGTCAAGCTGTGTATGAGTTAGGGATTCCAAATTTTCTGTGAGCCTTCAACAGTGTATGGGCTTAGTATTGATGAAGTTGTATTTGAATTGCATACTTTTTTCTGTCCTGATAGGCCTCAGACCACAGTTATCCCCCCTAAGTTTTACCATGAACCGGAAGGAAAATAGGAGAATATAGTAACCAGTTGAAATGGGCTGTTCAGCCTGTGGCAATTTTTTTGGAGTGACTTGTGATAGCTTAAATGAAAGATAAGACATTGTAGTTTGCTGTCAATTTTTTGTAAGCCCCAATCTGTGAAGGTATTGATTCCAGCTTCCCATGATTTGACCCCAAGTTGAAGGCCGCTGTGTGTGTTTCGGCTCGAAACTTCCGGTGAGCATTGTTGACAGTGGTTACTGCGAAAGCAAGGTGGTGGATCCTGGACGTAAGTTTGCGTTTTAAGTGACAAGTGGCAGGTTGGTCAGCATGCAACAGGAGAACAGCCTACGACTGATAATAATTATGGTGGGCTGTCATGTCACTGTAGATAGCAAAGAAGGAAATTAATTGTGGTCTGAGGCCTGATATGGTGAGGCTAGTGCATATGTTTGATTGACTATATCTCTATTATTATGCAAGATTTTGACTTGAAACTTGGCACATATATTCACAGTAAGTGTTGAAATCTGTGTACATGTGTATTCAGGTTGAAATATTTTTTAATTTTTTTTAATGATTTTGTGTACTTTTTCGAACGTGCGATTTTATGCATGTTGTTGAAATGAGTGAATGCCAGCATCATAATAAGTCATATGAGTTCCAATATGGTAGAATCATGTATCACTACACCTGTCGTGCCTCGTTTGCACTTGGACACTTTTAATATGGCCAACATCAATGCCTTTTTTAAGAAATACAGAGAGTTATTTGCTCGGCATTCAGCCAAAACTGACCAACACGGCACCTGTCAAAACGGCCAATGTCAGCTGTGGTCTAGGGCATGTAAGCCCAGTGGATATGGGGTTTTGAGATACTATTGCCCCATATCCAACAAGTGGCGCACCATAAATGCCCATAGACTCAGCTACATTGTGCATAGGGAAGATTTCGACATAGGTGATTTGGACATCAGCCATTTGTGCCATAATTCCAAATGCACCTATGTCGAACATCTTTCTGCTGAGCCTCATAGCATTAATGCAGAAAGAGTAGCCTGTGTGAACAGGGGTGCATGCAAAGGCCATGCGCCATATGCAGATTGCCTTTTGGCTTTGAAGCTATGAAAAGAGACAACAACAAGCAAAGTAAATGATTAAGATTTTATTCATTAACTGATGTTCAGCACAGTGACAGCTGATTGTTAGCATTGCATATACAAAAAGCATAGCTGTACAGCAACTGTTACCTATTTCAACTCAATTGTTTACACAAAGTCAGTCATAAGCTAGTCATTACCTACAGTATTACTGCACATGTTCATTTCTTTGAATATGAATGGTCAGCTTGTTTGCTAAAACATGGCACAGGGTCAAGTTGACCCTTTTTGTAGTCCCCCCTCTGTTTGTCACTCAGTTTTGACTTTAAATGTTCACTAATTTTGCTCCCATGCTGTACGAGCTTTCTTTTCACAACACTGGGACTTTTCTGGTATTCCTTGTGATAGGCAGCTTCCTTGTCCATTTGTTCAAGTGACCGTACTGCTCGACTTGATAGTTCAACACCAGAGTTTTGGCACTTGTCGATTGCTGATGTCCCGGGGCCATTGTTGAGCCTATGAATAGTCGATGAAGCCCTCCCAATCATATTTCTTGAAAAGTTCACGTTCTTTGGCAAAGAAATACTCATTGATCGGTTCACGGCTTCACATTTCTGTGTGTCTGTGTACAGTTTCATTTGTTCGACAACTTCGACACTCAGCTTCATCTTGAGAATTTCATTCATCAAGTGTTTATCATTGTCATCCATATTGAAATGAGTGATTTTGTTGCAGCCGAGGAACATGGACCGCTGCCACCAGCTGTTTGTTACACCGCCTCGACACACAACAGAGTACCGGGCACACCTGGAGCAGTCGCCGCTGTAGCACTTGAGGGTTGCTTCGAGCACTCTAGGTAAGATACTACGAAGTGTTTTCATGTCGCCTGCATGATCCTTCATGAGTTCTTTCAGTATCAGGCTGCACCGTGCCTTTACATCCTGCCTTAGCACCTTCTTAGCCTCCAATTTCTGTGTACGAGTAGTGCCGGGGAACATATCTGGGTTGAAATCAGCTCTGTAGCATTGCCGAAACTGTCCTTGAGCCAAGTGGGTGGGATCAGCTAGCCTCTGCACCTTCCACATAGGGTCTAACACTTTCAGAGCCTTGTCTATACCATCTGCAGACTTAGAATCCCCATCGGTAGTAGCATACTTAATTAGCACACCCTGTAGCGCAAGCTGATTTCCAATGTCCTCTCCCATATTGAACTCGGAGAACGGAGCGAAGGCCGACATGTTTGCAGTACAGTCTGGGTGCCCCCCTGGACACTTCACATCCATTCCTTTTCCTTTCAGCCAAGCACCAGTCCAGCACAGCTTATTCTGGAATGACGCGCCGATGATGAACTTCTAATCGGTAATAGTTTCGCAGGCTATGCCGATTGCTTGTGATGCATTCTGCCCTGGCTTCTTCCTGCTTGCTATTGTCGTTGAGTTGTATCGGCCATCCATGGCAATATTCATCTCGCATGGCTCAGTACCCCTCTTCCGATTAACTTCCTTTACCAATTCAACTTTTTCAGCCATATCCTGTGTATTCAGTTCAGTAACAGCAATAGCCACCTTGTTGGAGGTCCTCTGCATACTGCTCCTGCATGGGGGCGGAATGTCCATGTTCGCCATCAGTAACCTGGCTCTTGTGTTCCCAATAGGGGTGTCTTGAAGACCCAAGGCAAGTCCTACGTTAGGGGCTGCTGGGTTTGGTCCAGGTTTGCCTGTCTTGATTTCTTTATACAACTTCATTTCAGGTGCTGTGAAGTCACATACAACACATTTCAGTGTCACTTTCCAGCATGCTCCCCATTTTCTCTCCTTGGCTATCTGCAGCTGAGGGTCGTCGCAGTCAGTGGATGTCGAACGATGCAGTCGCAGAGCTGTGTTCCATGCTTCGGCCACCTTTTCATTGTCGACTAGTCGCATACCCTCCAAGTCATCTTTGCTTGACTCTTGTTTCAGGTTTTGCTTGCTGGCCGGAGTAGGCCGCAACAGCCTCACAGAGGTAGAGATGCCCTCACAGTCAGGTGTCGACAGCCCAGTGCCATCCAGCCTAGACTTGGTAACCAGTGAGAAGTCTTCAGCACTCATCCTAGTGACAGTCCTGGGTATCTGGGGTGGAGAGTCACTTTCTGTCTCTTCAGACTCAAGGGTGAGACCTTTGTTCCAGGGAGTGTGGCCCTTGCTGAACTGTGACTTGATTCTCTTGCGATCGCCTTTCATTGTGATTGTCTCGGACAGAACTAATGAGCTCTGAGCACAAGATGTACCTATATACCCCATGACTGTGTAATGTCAATGGCAATGACAAGCGTGTAAATGTATTAGAAACTCTCAAGACATACATATGTCTTGTGCCAGCAGTCCAAATTGCAGTTGAGCTGTACACGCAGTTTGACACCTTGGCGTGTATTGGCCGAGTGTCAGCTGAGAGTGGTCACACCTGGTGACTCGCTGCACTTGATTGGCTGTACACAGCTACCTGTCCCACCAATCATTTTAATGAGTAAAGACAGGGCTTTCATGTGAATAAAAATTTAACAGTTTCAATTTTCATTTTTGTTGAAAAATATGAACTTTAATTCAATTGTTTTGTTAAAAAATGTATGCATGTACCTAAAAATAGGCCAAAAAAAAAAGAATTGATATACCGGACTGAAATTGATGTCTGTTGATAGTATATGTCATGACGAGACAGGAACACTTGCTTGTTTTGTCAATTTCCTTTTGGTTATGGAGTTATGGACAAATTAGAATTGCATTTGAAATGAATTCATGCCAAAAATGTACTCTCAAGTGCTATGGATGCAGCATGATTTCAAATGACTATAAGTCAAGCTGTGTATGAGTTAGGGATTCCAAATTTTCTGTGAGCCTTCAACAGTGTATGGGCTTAGTATTGATGAAGTTGTATTTGAATTGCATACTTTTTTCTGTCCTGATAGGCCTCAGACCACAGTTATCCCCCCTAAGTTTTACCATGAACCGGAAGGAAAATAGGAGAATATAGTAACCAGTTGAAATGGGCTGTTCAGCCTGTGGCAATTTTTTTGGAGTGACTTGTGATAGCTTAAATGAAAGATAAGACATTGTAGTTTGCTGTCAATTTTTTGTAAGCCCCAATCTGTGAAGGTATTGATTCCAGCTTCCCATGATTTGACCCCAAGTTGAAGGCCGCTGTGTGTGTTTCGGCTCGAAACTTCCGGTGAGCATTGTTGACAGTGGTTACTGCGAAAGCAAGGTGGTGGATCCTGGACGTAAGTTTGCGTTTTAAGTGACAAGTGGCAGGTTGGTCAGCATGCAACAGGAGAACAGCCTACGACTGATAATAATTATGGTGGGCTGTCATGTCACTGTAGATAGCAAAGAAGGAAATTAATTGTGGTCTGAGGCCTGATATGGTGAGGCTAGTGCATATGTTTGATTGACTATATCTCTATTATTATGCAAGATTTTGACTTGAAACTTGGCACATATATTCACAGTAAGTGTTGAAATCTGTGTACATGTGTATTCAGGTTGAAATATTTTTTAATTTTTTTTAATGATTTTGTGTACTTTTTCGAACGTGCGATTTTATGCATGTTGTTGAAATGAGTGAATGCCAGCATCATAATAAGTCATATGAGTTCCAATATGGTAGAATCATGTATCACTACACCTGTCGTGCCTCGTTTGCACTTGGACACTTTTAATATGGCCAACATCAATGCCTTTTTTAAGAAATACAGAGAGTTATTTGCTCGGCATTCAGCCAAAACTGACCAACACGGCACCTGTCAAAACGGCCAATGTCAGCTGTGGTCTAGGGCATGTAAGCCCAGTGGATATGGGGTTTTGAGATACTATTGCCCCATATCCAACAAGTGGCGCACCATAAATGCCCATAGACTCAGCTACATTGTGCATAGGGAAGATTTCGACATAGGTGATTTGGACATCAGCCATTTGTGCCATAATTCCAAATGCACCTATGTCGAACATCTTTCTGCTGAGCCTCATAGCATTAATGCAGAAAGAGTAGCCTGTGTGAACAGGGGTGCATGCAAAGGCCATGCGCCATATGCAGATTGCCTTTTGGCTTTGAAGCTATGAAAAGAGACAACAACAAGCAAAGTAAATGATTAAGATTTTATTCATTAACTGATGTTCAGCACAGTGACAGCTGATTGTTAGCATTGCATATACAAAAAGCATAGCTGTACAGCAACTGTTACCTATTTCAACTCAATTGTTTACACAAAGTCAGTCATAAGCTAGTCATTACCTACAGTATTACTGCACATGTTCATTTCTTTGAATATGAATGGTCAGCTTGTTTGCTAAAACATGGCACAGGGTCAAGTTGACCCTTTTTGTAGTCCCCCCTCTGTTTGTCACTCAGTTTTGACTTTAAATGTTCACTAATTTTGCTCCCATGCTGTACGAGCTTTCTTTTCACAACACTGGGACTTTTCTGGTATTCCTTGTGATAGGCAGCTTCCTTGTCCATTTGTTCAAGTGACCGTACTGCTCGACTTGATAGTTCAACACCAGAGTTTTGGCACTTGTCGATTGCTGATGTCCCGGGGCCATTGTTGAGCCTATGAATAGTCGATGAAGCCCTCCCAATCATATTTCTTGAAAAGTTCACGTTCTTTGGCAAAGAAATACTCATTGATCGGTTCACGGCTTCACATTTCTGTGTGTCTGTGTACAGTTTCATTTGTTCGACAACTTCGACACTCAGCTTCATCTTGAGAATTTCATTCATCAAGTGTTTATCATTGTCATCCATATTGAAATGAGTGATTTTGTTGCAGCCGAGGAACATGGACCGCTGCCACCAGCTGTTTGTTACACCGCCTCGACACACAACAGAGTACCGGGCACACCTGGAGCAGTCGCCGCTGTAGCACTTGAGGGTTGCTTCGAGCACTCTAGGTAAGATACTACGAAGTGTTTTCATGTCGCCTGCATGATCCTTCATGAGTTCTTTCAGTATCAGGCTGCACCGTGCCTTTACATCCTGCCTTAGCACCTTCTTAGCCTCCAATTTCTGTGTACGAGTAGTGCCGGGGAACATATCTGGGTTGAAATCAGCTCTGTAGCATTGCCGAAACTGTCCTTGAGCCAAGTGGGTGGGATCAGCTAGCCTCTGCACCTTCCACATAGGGTCTAACACTTTCAGAGCCTTGTCTATACCATCTGCAGACTTAGAATCCCCATCGGTAGTAGCATACTTAATTAGCACACCCTGTAGCGCAAGCTGATTTCCAATGTCCTCTCCCATATTGAACTCGGAGAACGGAGCGAAGGCCGACATGTTTGCAGTACAGTCTGGGTGCCCCCCTGGACACTTCACATCCATTCCTTTTCCTTTCAGCCAAGCACCAGTCCAGCACAGCTTATTCTGGAATGACGCGCCGATGATGAACTTCTTATCGGTAATAGTTTCGCAGGCTATGCCGATTGCTTGTGATGCATTCTGCCCTGGCTTCTTCCTGCTTGCTATTGTCGTTGAGTTGTATCGGCCATCCATGGCAATATTCATCTCGCATGGCTCAGTACCCCTCTTCCGATTAACTTCCTTTACCAATTCAACTTTTTCAGCCATATCCTGTGTATTCAGTTCAGTAACAGCAATAGCCACCTTGTTGGAGGTCCTCTGCATACTGCTCCTGCATGGGGGCGGAATGTCCATGTTCGCCATCAGTAACCTGGCTCTTGTGTTCCCAATAGGGGTGTCTTGAAGACCCAAGGCAAGTCCTACGTTAGGGGCTGCTGGGTTTGGTCCAGGTTTGCCTGTCTTGATTTCTTTATACAACTTCATTTCAGGTGCTGTGAAGTCACATACAACACATTTCAGTGTCACTTTCCAGCATGCTCCCCATTTTCTCTCCTTGGCTATCTGCAGCTGAGGGTCGTCGCAGTCAGTGGATGTCGAACGATGCAGTCGCAGAGCTGTGTTCCATGCTTCGGCCACCTTTTCATTGTCGACTAGTCGCATACCCTCCAAGTCATCTTTGCTTGACTCTTGTTTCAGGTTTTGCTTGCTGGCCGGAGTAGGCCGCAACAGCCTCACAGAGGTAGAGATGCCCTCACAGTCAGGTGTCGACAGCCCAGTGCCATCCAGCCTAGACTTGGTAACCAGTGAGAAGTCTTCAGCACTCATCCTAGTGACAGTCCTGGGTATCTGGGGTGGAGAGTCACTTTCTGTCTCTTCAGACTCAAGGGTGAGACCTTTGTTCCAGGGAGTGTGGCCCTTGCTGAACTGTGACTTGATTCTCTTGCGATCGCCTTTCATTGTGATTGTCTCGGACAGAACTAATGAGCTCTGAGCACAAGATGTACCTATATACCCCATGACTGTGTAATGTCAATGGCAATGACAAGCGTGTAAATGTATTAGAAACTCTCAAGACATACATATGTCTTGTGCCAGCAGTCCAAATTGCAGTTGAGCTGTACACGCAGTTTGACACCTTGGCGTGTATTGGCCGAGTGTCAGCTGAGAGTGGTCACACCTGGTGACTCGCTGCACTTGATTGGCTGTACACAGCTACCTGTCCCACCAATCATTTTAATGAGTAAAGACAGGGCTTTCATGTGAATAAAAATTTAACAGTTTCAATTTTCATTTTTGTTGAAAAATATGAACTTTAATTCAATTGTTTTGTTAAAAAATGTATGCATGTACCTAAAAATAGGCCAAAAAAAAAAGAATTGATATACCGGACTGAAATTGATGTCTGTTGATAGTATATGTCATGACGAGACAGGAACACTTGCTTGTTTTGTCAATTTCCTTTTGGTTATGGAGTTATGGACAAATTAGAATTGCATTTGAAATGAATTCATGCCAAAAATGTACTCTCAAGTGCTATGGATGCAGCATGATTTCAAATGACTATAAGTCAAGCTGTGTATGAGTTAGGGATTCCAAATTTTCTGTGAGCCTTCAACAGTGTATGGGCTTAGTATTGATGAAGTTGTATTTGAATTGCATACTTTTTTCTGTCCTGATAGGCCTCAGACCACAGTTATCCCCCCTAAGTTTTACCATGAACCGGAAGGAAAATAGGAGAATATAGTAACCAGTTGAAATGGGCTGTTCAGCCTGTGGCAATTTTTTTGGAGTGACTTGTGATAGCTTAAATGAAAGATAAGACATTGTAGTTTGCTGTCAATTTTTTGTAAGCCCCAATCTGTGAAGGTATTGATTCCAGCTTCCCATGATTTGACCCCAAGTTGAAGGCCGCTGTGTGTGTTTCGGCTCGAAACTTCCGGTGAGCATTGTTGACAGTGGTTACTGCGAAAGCAAGGTGGTGGATCCTGGACGTAAGTTTGCGTTTTAAGTGACAAGTGGCAGGTTGGTCAGCATGCAACAGGAGAACAGCCTACGACTGATAATAATTATGGTGGGCTGTCATGTCACTGTAGATAGCAAAGAAGGAAATTAATTGTGGTCTGAGGCCTGATATGGTGAGGCTAGTGCATATGTTTGATTGACTATATCTCTATTATTATGCAAGATTTTGACTTGAAACTTGGCACATATATTCAC